CTGTTTCTCAGAAGCACAAATGGACACAGGAATGTGTGGATGGCTAGGATGATCCCAGATGAGAAACCCCCAAATGTAAAGAGCTGCAGATAATAGGTGGGTCATCCATTATAGCCATGTCTAGTGGGTCCAGGTTCTGGCTGCCCATTAGCACTTAACACACTCCATGGTGACCGATAAAAGCGAGGTCCAGGCTGTAGGTATGATGCTGAGGAACTTTATTGATGGACTTCAGAGAGAGTGGTTGAGGGTCAGGATCATCCAGGCTGGTGTAGACTCCTTTAGGCAATAGGACAGAGTAACTACTGCCATCACAGACTAGGACCTTTAAGCCAGACATGGCAATCTGTGTGTAGAACACATGACCGAGCAGTACTTGAATCAGAAGTCAGAAGTCACTGGGCCACTGGGCCACTGGGCCCCCAGACTCGGGCCTTAGTGTAAGCACATGACTAGTGCCCAGGCTTTAGGGCTCACCATATCAGACATCCACAGCTGCCTCCCCACAGACAGGGCCCGGGGGAGGAAGAGAGAGCTCACATGGTCCACCCCAAGTATTTATTTCCTTTCCCAGCATGCACCATTGGCCATCAATAATTGGCTGTCGTCATGTCTCTATCCTTTTTAATCTTTTCTGACTCACTAACTCAGAATAAATATTCAGCCAGTGAAGTCAGGCTCCTGAAAAGTATACATCTTTCTTATAAGTTACACAGAAAGTATTAAGACCAGAATGACAGCCAAGGAACTTACATTTTCAGAAAAGATCAGTAATTTCAAACATTGACAGGTTTCCGTTAAGCTAATTATCCAGTTTTTAGATTTCCGATGTCTGATGTCTTGGGAAACATTGCTAGCAGTGTAAAATGTAATAAGAAATCTTTTTTTTTTTGTGAACAATGTGATTTTCTATGCAAGTTTTATTTGACAATTTGTCCCAATAAAGTGTGTATTGCCTAATGAAATCTTCATTATCCCCTCTGAAATGATAATAGAAATAAACAAATCAGAAAGCAGCAACTGTAAAGACACATCTGTAATCTACGAATAAAATAAAATGAATTCACTTTTCCTTCACTTTCACTGTTGATCAAACTCTGTTTTCGTTCTTTTATACCTGTGAATCATTTTATGTACATAGAGTCAGTGTGTTTGATACACTGTGTCTCTTGCACAATAATATTTGCCGGATTCTTCAGTCTTCATTCCAGTGAGTTTGAAATACACTTCCCCTTTATTTGTGTCTCTGGACAGAGTCAGCCGTCCCTGAACAGAAGTGGCATACCTTGTATCAGCATTATGCCATATTAGCCCCAACCACTCCATCTGTTTCCTTTCAGATTGCCGAATCCAGTGCACACCGTGCATGTTAGTGCTGTCAGTGAGGGAGGCTCCGGACACTTTACAGGTCAGCTCCAGAGTCTGTGTTGGTTTCACAGTCCCAGGACCAGACTCCACCATTGTGATTTGTGATGTGACATCTGAAAAATACAGGAAATGTTTGTTATCTATTGGATTTCAGTAAATATTTTTACATATAGATGAACAGATCAGCTTACATTGTAAACAGTGCACCAGGCACAGTAACCCCAGAATATGAATCATGTCTGCTCTGAGAAACTCAGCTTGGGATAATGTTATGTGATTCTGATCAATGGACTCTTCCTGGAGACGGATGTCCATTTATACATGAACTCATCTGAATATATTTACATACATGATGCAATAATTACAGGGGGAAAAAAATACCAGTTTAGTTCCTCCCACTATTTAATTTTACTCTGCATGCATTAAAAATATTATACTTAGTTTTTTTGTGGAATAATTTGTATGGGTTGTTATAGGTTCTTTTATTTGGCTGGATGTAAGCTACAATTTGTAGCACATTTGGTTTTCAAATGAATATCAATTTATCCTCATCAATATCAAAATTAATAAATAAGTATAATGATTGATTGAGATATGATCACACAGCAACGTAGATAATATGCATTAGTAATTATTTCTGGTATAATGATAGTTTTTTCAACAAATCAAAGGTGTAGCGATGGGAGCAAAATTTCACTTTCCCAGCCTGGCCAACTTATTTATGGCCAGGTGGGAAAGTGAGACTATCTATAGTGGGAAATGGGATGGACTTACCCTCTGGAAAAAGTATATTGATGATAAACTGGTATTATGGGATGGTCCTGACAACGACCAATGAGTTTCCTACATTGTATCCAAATTTATAACTTTCGGATTAAATTTACTATTAATAAAGTGGAGAAAAGTGCAATTTTTTTGGATTTGTCAATTTTTATAAAAGGGGAGGAGTTTTGTACTAAAACATTCTTTAAAACTACAGACAGGAATGGATATTTACCGACATACAGCTGCCATCACCCACAATGGGTTAATATTATTCCGAAGGGACAGATGATACGGATCAGACGTAACTGTACTACTGTACAGTTACTACTGTACAGGATTATGAAGATTAATCTGATACTATTATGAAGAGATTTGTAGAAAAAGGTTAAAAGGAGGACAAAGTAAGAAAGACAAATAGATTAATAGAAACTATGGATAGGAATTCACTATTAAATGAGAAGAAGAAACTAGGAGGTAGAGAGGCCCGTGACTTTCATTACTAACTATTCTGCCTAGTACAGAGAGCTAGAAACTATTCTGGGTATATTAAAAAGAGACAGAATTATAGGCCATTTACTCCCAGATATTGCTAGAATGTTATATAAGAAAGCCCCTACCTTAAGAGATAAATTGGCTGTCAATGTTATTGATCCCCCAAAGAAACAGTTTTCTTTTTTTGGTGGGGTGGGCCCATGTTGTAGATGTGCTT